TCCTTCTAGGTGAATGGAAGCGATGGCGACGCGCTGGTGTGCAGGGGTTTCATGATACTCGAAGAATCTCTCTGCTCTGAAAATCCAAGGAATGGGATCTCCACCGGAATAGTTGGGAAAATTGATTTTAGTAACCTTTCCGGCGGGGTAACCCCCAGTTCCCTTGCTATCGGAAACAAAGGCGTCGGCCCCTGTTGGATGACTGGTCTCGCCGGATTGTTGTTGGGAGGCGAGGTTAGAGATGTCCACCTTGAGATCCCTGAGTCCGTTCAGTACCTGATGGAACCCAATCTCAAGTTGGTCGACTCTATCTTCCACGGTAGAGGATCTTGTCTGTGGCATAGCTGGTCTGCAACCTTGCTCTGATACCAACTTGGTGAGTTTCCGCTCACCTCGGAGACCTCTTCGAGGGAGGCTTGACCTCCTGAAACAGAAGATGGAGAGAAAAGAGAGAAGGGAGGGAAGGAAGAAACTGGAATCAGGGAGAGGAAAATTAAGGGAGAATCATTCATTSCTTTCATTATGTGATGATGGCCTTGTATAGCTGGCCTACAGGTGTAATATCAGAGGGAATATCCTCTGATTTCTGAATAACTAACTCTGGCAGATAACATGGGTGGAATATCTTCAGGTGGCAGAGTAACCAACTCTGAGTGTAACTAATTCTGGGGCTCTGCCGCCTGGCTCCTCTGTCTTCTTGTGAATGGCTGATAGGTGGTGGCCTGCTCCACTCCCCTAGTGGGTTCTGGAGGGGGTGTTTGGGTCTCAACAGGACATGTGTTTTCTGGTGAGTGTTGGGCTGTTTTTTTTTGTACCATGCCCGTATAACTACAATCTGGGAATGAGGTTTCTTTGCATTTATTGATCTGGTTTCAGCATTACTAATACTAAGGATTAGTCTTAGAAAGAACAAGATCATTTTTTAGTGGATAATGAAAAATTTGGAACAAATTCAGTATATGAAGGTCTGGTTTGCTAAAAAGCTGAAAATTGTTATAGAAGGATCAAGGCCTTTTACATTTCTGTAGAATTGGACTTCCGCCATTGCTTCACTCCTGACACTACATTCCACTTTGTGTTCACGTTTGTGCACTGGATGTTTGTTTTCCTTGTTCTCTTGGTTCTTCCTTTCCACGTTAGAGTAGGATGGTATGATGTATCTGTAATTTGGAGTTTGGATCCTTATTAAAAAGTGCTGGATGCATCACAGTTCTTGGAACTAATATCATTGCCAATGGGTTCATCTAGGGTTCTGAAGCCCTTTTATTTATATTCTGATCTGGTTTGTAAGGCTTTCTTTTCCATTTTATCTTTTTAAGCTTTAGATATGTTTTTTACATATATATTTTGCTAATAAATAGCTTAGGTATAATTTTTTCTGAGTTAAGCAATTTCCAGGGAATTTCTGTGGCGCCTCTATGGGACTTCTCCAAGGGGCAATTTGTTGGAGTTCTTAGTGCATCTGACTTCATCTTGATTTTGAAAGAGGTATGCTTAAAAATTTCTCATTCTGTTTCTTCAGATGCAATTTGTATGGAAAATACAAATCTTTCCAACTGACTGTATTTTTACTTTTGAGGTGTCCCATAGACTTCATTACTGATAATGAAGTTTAACTTGACTTATATTTTACCTAGCTATGGTAGCATACATACTTCAGAAAATTGCTTTCCTTGATGGAAAATGATAATGTTCTTTTATGGTTGTGGGGATCAACAAATTTTGGAAGTATGATTGTTTGTTTATTGCAAAATTTTGTCTTAGTTTGTGAGAAACCCTTTTGTTTGATGATCTATTTGGATCACTTCTTAAAAATTAAAATTGTACTGAAAGGGTATGCATAGAATTGAAGGCAGAAGTCTAGCCATGCTCAAGTACATCATCATGAAGATTATTCAGTTTGATAACAATTTGTTTGCTTATTGCAAAACTTTGCCTTAGTTCTTGAGAAATTCTTTTGTTTGATGATCTATTTGGATCACTTCTTAAAGTTCTCTTAATAGGATAAATTTAGAATTGAAAGCAGAAATGTAGTCATGCTGAAGTACAACATCATGAAGATAATTCAGTTTGATAACGAGGTGTTGGGATTATTGGGATGTGAATAGACCTGTTCATGGGCCGGGCCGGGCTCGGGCCGAGCTTTTACTTGTCATTAAGGGAAATATGCTAGGCCCGAGCCCGAGCAACGGGCCTATAACTTGGGCCCGAGCCCGGCTCTAATAAAAAGCCCGAAGCCCAACCTAATAAAAAAAAACAATTTTCCCTATTCAAATTAGAATTAAAAATTCAGATAGTTTTTTTTCCTATTTAAATGAACAATGGGCCTACAAGATGGTTTTTTTCCCCTTTCTTTTATATTTTAAAACATAGTTTTACATTCTTAAATAAAAAAATTTATTCAAATGGACATAATCACATTACTCACTTTAAGTCTAATATTAGGTCGGGCTGGGCCGGGCTATTTTGACAAAACCCGAGCCTGGCTCGAATTTATTGTGGGCCAGGCTTTTTGGCCCGAATTTAAGCCCGCGGGCCTATAACCATGTTCAAGCCCATTTGGGGGTCGGGCCGGGCCGGGCCACCCGGCCCATGAACAGGTCTAGATGTGAAGTGTTAATCCTTATTTAGTACTTGCCAGTTATTCATTCCTTGTGTTTGTTTTGTTTTGAAGCTATTTGTTTTTCTATTGTTCTCCTAAAGCTAATTAACTTATTTCTGGTAGAGTCAGATCGAGACAGAGAGAGCAACACTTGGTGGGTTTGTCAAAAGTGACAGTCGACACCCAAAGAATGATATTTATATTAGAAAGATAAAAAGGCAAATCTGCCCCTAGTATACATAGGTTAGTGTACAAAACAAGCTATTATACAAGAAAGAAAGTAAAAGTACAAAAATTGCCCCCGGCTAACTCTCTTTATCTCTACACTTCCCCTCAAATTGATGCCTAGGAATAAGCATCAGTTTGTCCATGAGAAATATATGTTGAGTTCGGGTCGTTGCCTTTGTCAATAAACTTGCAAGTTGGAGGACGGAGGACAAATGTGGAAGAGAGATAATACTCGCAAGAAGTAGATTGCAAATGAAGTGGCATTCAACTTCGATATGTTTTGTACTCTCATGGAATACAGAGTTGGGTGCAATTTTGATTGCACTTACATTGTTTGCAAAGAGAGGAACTAAGGGTGATGGCTCATCGAGAATGTCTTGTAGGAGAGAGCCCGGAGCCATATAATTTCACTACACACTGAGGACATGGCACTGTATTCAGCTTTAGTGGAAGATTTGGATACGGTGGATTGTTTCTTGCACTTTCATGAGATGAGGGAGTTCCACAAGAATACACACCAACCTATAGTGGATTGTCGGGTGTTTGGGCATCCGGTCCTATCAGAATCCGCATAAGCAATGAGGCTAATGTAGGATGGAGAGGAGAAGAATATGCCGTGAGATAAAGTCCCCCTCACATACCTAATAATCCGATGGACTGCAAGCAAATGTGGTTTTCTTGGTGATGACACAAATTAGCTCACAAGTTGGACTGCATAAAATATATCTGACTGAGTCATGGTAAGATAGATTAGATTGCCTACTAGTTGATGATAGAGAGTAGGGTCTTTAAGGGGAGAACCATCATCCTTACTAAAGTTTAGATTTCGTTCCAATGTAGTATCAACCATCTTGGAATCACTGAGGTTGGCTCTAACAAGATCAGCCGCATATTTATGTTGGTTGACAAAGTAATCCTGAGAATTACAACTTAAAGCCCCAAAAAATAAATTAGAGGACCCAAGTACTTCATCTTTAAAGATTCACTGAGTAGTTGTTTCAAATCAACAACTCCTACATCATTCCCCATATTGAGTATATCGTCAACATAGAGAAGTAGGACTGCCACCCCTGCTGCCGGTGTAAGTTACAGAGAGAATGATCTGAAGAGCTTTGGATAAAGTTGGCATTAGTGATAACAGATCTGAATCTCTCAAACCAGGCTCTAGGAGCTTGTTTGAGACCACATATGGACTTATTTAGGCGGCAAACAAGCTGTGGATCTGTGCAATATCTAGGAGGAGGCTTCATATACAATATCTCCTTCAATTCCACATGTAGGAATGCATTCTTTACGTCCATCTGATCAATTGTCCACTGTTTTGCAACAGATATAGCGAACAAGAGTCGTACAATGGTCATTTTTGCTATAGGAGCAGTCTCCTCATAATCTATCCCATACTCTTGTTTATAACCTTGTGTAACAAGCCTATCGTTGTACCTATCTAGGCTTCCATCAAACTTCAATTTCACAGAGTAAACCCAATGACTCACAATGAGAGAGGCTTCAGGTGGAGCTTTTAACCAGGTCCTAGGTGTCATTATCAAGAAGGGCTTGGATCTCAGAGTCCATGGTATCCTTCTAGTGTGGAATTGCTACAACTTGTTGGTAAGACCTGAGAATGTTTGTGGTGGATAAAACAACAGAAAAAGAGCTATAGTTTGGTGAAAAACCATAGTGATCAGGTGGGCGAAAAATTCTAGAGGAATGGTGCAAAGTGGGTGCAATGGGTTCAGGTGGAGGTTCAGATGAACTTACACAGGTATAGATGGAGTGATTGGATCAGTAGCTGGCGGTAGAGAGGAGAGGGGCATTGAGACTGATGTAGACTGTTGCCTCCTGAAGTAAGTCTAAAGTTTCTACATAGGTGATGCTGGTGCACTTGGAATATCTGTAGAATCAAAGCTGTGCAACAAAGAGGTAGATGAAGCAGGGAATTTAACATGTTCAAAGAACGACACATTCTCAAGAAAAATTACATTACGAGAAATTCGAATGCGACGAGTTGAAGGATCATAACAAAGAAATCCCTTGTGATTAGGGCTGTACACCACAAAGGCACACAAAGCTGGTTGTGCAGTTAGCTGTGTGTGTTCATGGGGTGGAAGGTGAACAAACTAGACAACCAAAAACTCTGAGCATAGATATGGTTGGAGGTTTGTGAAAGAGGGACTGAAAAGGTGAAGTGTTGTTTAGGACAATTGAAGGAAGATAGTTTATGAGATACACAACAATATTGGTTGCCTGCACCCAAAACCAAGAGGGTTCTGACTACACAAAATATTTTTTGGATTGAATTCCTTGTTGTTTCAAGTAGGTTTGAAAATCTCCATCAAAGTACTCTCCCCCTGAATCAGACTGTAGTACACATATCTTGGCATCAAACTAGGTAGCAACATAAGCCTAACATTGTTTGAAACTTTGAATGCAGAATAAACTTCTGATTTCTTGCAAAGAAAGTAAACAAAGTGCAATCATCAATAAAAGTTACAAAATATTTGTATCCCAATCTAGAAATAACTGTAGACGACCATACATCACTATGCATTAAATAAAAAGGAACTGTAGGATGTTTTGAATGAGCAAGAAATGGTAAGATATGGCTCTTTTTTTGATGAATGGTAAAATATAGCTCTTGCATAAACCACAAGTAATGCATGATTTATTAACATTTTTAAAAGTAGCAATAGAAATTGGTAAACTGCTAGAAGCAAACAACTGATCAAGTTTCTTAGAGAAAGGGTGACTAAGGCATTTATGCCACAAGTGCCAATCATTATTATAATTAAAAGACTCAAAACCAGAAGTAGTAGAAAGCAAGCAAGAAGTAAAAATAGAATCGACCTTCTTCTTCTTCTCAAACTCCCGAGTAAATAGCTGACCCCATCTAAGGCCCTTCCCCTTTACCTCCCAGTTTGCTGGTCCTGTATCAAACAATCATTAGAGGAAAACAAAGACAGTGTTACCATCTTTTATAAGTTGGCTAACAAAAATCAAATTAGTAGTTAACTTGGGTACAGATAAGGTTTTGGGTAGGTGAAAAGAGGAACACTTAAAGGTAGATAAATGTAAATCACCACAACTAACTATATCTAATTTTTCACCATTTGTAGTAACAATGTGTTTATTAGGGAGATGGGGTTTGGGATAATGACCAAAAGTGGCTCCCGTCATGTAGTTAGAGGCGCTAGATTCAATAGTCCAAGGATGATTTGATGAAGGGTAGTAGGTAGGAGATTTACCAGACAGACCAATAGCAGAAAAGGTGGAAGAGGTGATTGAGGACATGAGCTGCCGAAACCTTTCTTTAGACATACCACTAGAAGTATCATTCTGTCCAGCCACTAAAGCAATAGAAGAGGAGGCATCTGAACTCTCTATAGAAGTCTGATAGGCCTCATAGGTTACTTTTTTCTGATTTGATCCACCCCTTTTTTGGGGTTGAGTGGGACATTCTGTAATGATATGTTCGGACTGTTTGCAATAAGTACATGTGTTCTTCTTCTTATAGTGTGAGTCAACACGCTCAAACTCCTTGCATTCATAGCATTGTACTCGGGGAAAATCCTTCTTCCCCTTAGGTTTTGTTGCAAGAAAAACAATATCTTTATTTGAATCCTTCCTTCCATCAAGAGTAGTCGTGTAACAAACTTGGTTT